AAAACAGAGGGTGAGCAAAAAAGAGGAAGACCCTCAACGAGCTAGATTGACACAGTGGCTGAAACAATGAGGCTCAAGCATAACAATGATTGTGAGGATGGTGCAGGACCAGGCAGTGTTTTATTCTGTTGTACATAGTGTCACTATGAACCGGAAAGGACTTGATGGCACCTAACAACAACAACAACTGCACTAACCCCTAGAAGATTAGGTTCCATTAAGAGAGACTGAGATGGGAGTCAGTGGGACAAAAGGAAAACCAGGTGAGAATGGTGTCACAGAAGTCAAAGAAGGAGAGGAAAGGTGGTCAACTGTGGCAGAGTCTCTAAGGTGCGAGGTCAGGCTATCTTCCATTCTCTTCTCTTCATCCTTGATAGTTTGGAAATTCTTCTGTGGTTCTCCATTTCATTAGTACTTACCTTCTCAACATATATATTTTTCTACTATTTTATTAAAAGATTCAAATGATACCCCTCAGCCACTCACCCCAGCACTCTATTCCCTACTGCTCACCACCACAAGTAGGATGATAACTGAGAACATTTACTATCCCCCATTCTCTGCCCATGCCAGTCTTTTGTATACTCTTTTCCTCTCCCTGCAAAGTCCTTCCTACTTGGAGGTATTACTGAAATAGTCAAGGCTTCTGTTTCTAGACCATTTTAGATTTTCTCTGAAAATATGACTCCTTTGTTTCAAGAATCTTTATTTATCAGTAAAATTACAGGTTCCCAGTCACATTACCATCATTTAGTTTAATTACATTTGTTGTGTGGTTCTTTGCTTACCACTGTTTACTCTTTAATTTTCCCTACCCTGAAGATCTCTGATATGATTAACTTGTTATTTGATGGGGCACTTTCTTAAGAATTTTCCTTAAATGGGCTCTGTCTATGGCTGATATCTTACTTATCTGCTCTTACTCTGACAGTAAACGACATCTGGTTAGATTTGCAAGGATTTGTTGGTTTCTGCTCTTTTCTGCTGGTGGTGTATAGATGTCATTCCACTGTCTTCAAGCTTCCAGTATTGCAAATATGAAGTCTAATGTTGAT